TTTTAATAATTTCGATTGTTGATTTTTCATTATTTTTTGCACGGTTAGTGAGTGATTATATAATACCAGTGAGTTTGTTTAATAAGGAATGAAGCATTTGTTCAGAAAATTATTGATGAAGACTATGACGTAAATTTATTTTAGCAAATCACATTAAAACGTCATTCGTTTCAGTATGTACTAAATGGCCTGAACCTTAAACAAAATTTACACGTAGTAATTCCTTCTTTTTCATCCAAATTTTGCAATATTTTAGTACTATGCTGTATTTATATCTATTGAAATCCATCGAACGAGTGCGATTATTAAGATCGACAGCAATCAGATATTGAAGATCAGGACAAGATATCGACTTAGATAAGCGGAGACGAGTCGATAGAGTCAAAGTCATCGTGCTTGGAACAGGCACTGAGTGATTTCTTCCTCCGTTCCCGCGACTTCTTCATTTCTTACGAATCCCTCCTTGGATAGGTTCATTTAACTAACACGAGGAGCACAAAACTTCATCGATTCTACTTCGATTATACTTTACAAAACAGAAAGATAAAATTCAATGTATACTATCGAATTTTGTAAGATTATTCGAAACTCTTTTTCGCTTCATCCTATCCACGTGACCACTCATCTATCTAAACACTCGGAGAAGAAAATCTCGAAGAGATGTTGACTTTCAAAGTTGAAATCCAATCTATTCTTTCACCGTACTCAATGATCCAATATATACATAGATCGCTCGCTTTCACTTCTGACTCGCTTCCAACCAAAATTATTCAAAAACTTGTCCACTCTTCGTCTTTCCCTCTTGACCACTCATCTTTCACCAAACTTTTCCGCTCTGTGCGGATGCGCCAAGAGGAGAATCTGTGGGAGAAAAACGGCGAAAAACCAGCTGGAGGCAGCGGTTGGAAATAGTCGGTGGATAATCAGCGGTGGGCCACGGAAGGGAGAAAGAGGTGGAAGAACTATGGAAGAAAGCTGGCAGCCAGTCAGATTGCAAGCAGCGAGAGAAAGAGAGAAAGGGGGCGAAGGAGAGAGGGCAAAAAGAAAGTGAGAAGGAGAGACGCCAGTTGCGGCAACGGCGGCAGCAACGTCAGCGGCAGCAGCAGCAGGGGTTGCTGAAAGAGAGAACGATACCCAGAGGGAAGAGAAAACGTGGTGGCCGTCCGAGCAGAGAGCGGAATCGACGATAAAGAAGGAGAACCCG